AAAGGATGGTGAGGCTAGAGAACAGCAAGAGAGGGAGACAAAAGCTTGAGATAAGGCTGGATTAATGCAGGTCTGGAGGATAGGCCAAAGATTTAGAATTGATCATAAGAAATTTGGAAGACTGGGTGCCTGGGTGGCTCAGTCGGTTAAGTGACTGCCTTCGGCTCAGGTCATGATCCCGGAGTCCCAGGATCGAGTCCCGCATTGGGCTCCCTGCTCAGCGGGGAGTCTGCTTCTCCCTCTGACCCTCCCCCCCTCATGTGCTCTCTCTCTCTCTCATTCTCGCTCTCTCAAATAAATAAATAAAATCTTTAAAAAAAAATTTGGAAGACAACATTGGGTTTCGGCAAGGGAGAAATCACTTTGATGTGGGAGAATAAATTGGAGGGGATCTAGAGGGGCTTGAGGGGGATGAAGCTTTTGTTATTATCATTATTAAGAGCAGCTGATATTTCCTGTTTGTTTCTAGAGGCCAGGCACTATTCTAACCCATTTACCCTCATTGTCCATGTATACCTCATGACAATCCAGTGAGGTGCTGTTGTTACCCTTATTTTACAGGTGAGGAAACCAAGACCTGGCAAGGTTAAGCAGCTTGCCCAAAGGTCATATAGCTAGGTAATGGCAGAGCTGGGATTTGAACCTAGAATAGTGTGTGATTCTAGACCCTGTGTGTTAGCCACTGGGCTGTGTTTTCCATGCGTGAGGTGATGGTCCATTAGTGGCTCTTGAAATTGAATGGATCACAACTGGAATTTTTTTTTTAATAGAACAGAATAGAAATTAGAATACTTCGCACTAGTAAGGATAGAATATTGATATGTGAAACCTAGTTTCACTTTTTATTTAATGTATTTGTACATGGGTATGCTTAGAAACCATTACAAAAGGCTGAGCAGCATTTGCCTAGACAAAAGCCAGTGACGTCTTAGACCAGAATTGTGGCAGGGCAGATGGAGAGAAGTAGTGGGTCACAGTGTGTAGAGGCAGAGGTAGCAGGTCTCAATAAGAGATTGCATACAGGGGCTGACGGAGGTGTCGCGAGGAGTCCCAGCGTTGCGGTGGGGGGACCAAGATGAGTCATGGCATCCATATGCTCAGTCCACTTGAGTGGGACATTTCTCGGGTCCTCTTGAGTGGCTGTTTGTTGTACTACCTGGGTCTCTGGCTTCTCTCAGCTGCAGCTGGGGCTTGAGTTTGGCATGTCACCCAAATCTGTATCTCACAGCAAATCTGTAAGCTGGCTGTGAACTTATGGTCTGTCACCCCAAATGCCTAAACTGGAGGGCTGAGCCAAAAATAAATTCTGGAATTCGAGGTGAGTAGTGAGGATACACATGTGGGCTGACGGCAGCTCTAAAGTGAAGGTATGGGAACTTTTTGCTGTAGTTTCTTTGAGAATCAGAGTACTTTTAGGTTGCAGTGTTGAAGAGTCCAGAGTCCTTTTTGAAGTTCAGGTCCAGTTCATTTGCTCCTGGCGCCCTGGGAGGCCCATTTCCCTATTTTCATGCACAACCTTTTAGTAGTACCTGGCTCCCCACAGTACTGCAGTGACTTTCTGTACTGTGTGTTCAGCAGCTACTAACTGGAGGCAAATATGGAGTAGTCCGGTGCTTGGTACAAATCCTCATTCTTCGTCTTGCTGGTTTTTTGACCATGGCCAAGATACTTCTTACTGAGCCTCAGTTTTCTTATCTGTAAGGTTGGGATGATATAAGAGCATCCATGTCATGGGGCTATGGTGAAGAGTAGGTAAGATAAGCTGTATCAGCACCTCAGGCCAGTGCCTCGTACAGAATAATAGCTTAATGAATATTTGCTGTTAGTTGTTAGTGTTTTTTTAGGATAGTTTCTCGAGAGTTAAGCATATTTATGAGCAAAGTCTAATGGGAAGAAGCTAGCATAGAGAGTTTGGACATATGTGAGAAGAGAGTGTTAAGAGAAGGTACTGGATTCCAGAGAAGCAAGGATGGTATGAGGTCAAGAGCAGACACTGAGGACTGTTTTCAATAGGAGAGGGAACCTCTGAGGTGGTGTGGGGGCTTAATATTTTCTGAGATTGGATTCCAGTTATGGTTGTCTACTGGGAGAGACACTAATTGTGAGAAAAGTGGCTACTTGGAAGGCTGTTGTGGAGAACAGGATATCAGGGCACACAAAAGAATTGATGAACGGTGCTGAGACCATGAATTTATAGTGACACCAGCCTATGTGTTTTTATAGTTTTGCCTGGCTGTGCGGTGTTCGGCAGAGTGAGGAGATGTTAAAATAAGATTGGTCTAGTTTTAAGGGTTTGCAAGGCAGATGCCAGAAACGAATAAAGAGACTGAGGACTTGGGTGCAGGGACAGAGAAAGGTAAGCTGTTGAGTCTGGCTTGGCTGGGGAAGGTGTACATAGTCTTAGAGAAAAGTGGAGGGCAGAGTGGTGTGTGATACCACATAGACAGGGTACATGATCTCTTTGAATGATAGTTTCTTACTATTCCTAACATTAATTCCTTGTGTTGGTAACTGAAGTATTAAGACTAATTGCTAAAGGGAATTTACTACTCTTTCGAATGGGTGCAACCCAAAAGTTAAGTTAGTTCTAGTACCTAATTTTGAAGTTGCCGTGATTTTATGTGGTGTGCTGAATCATTGAATGATAGGTTGTAAGCCTTGACCTAAGGTAGAGTTTAGCCACATAATGAGACATTTTATTTTCTTTGACTCCTTCTGAGGAACTTAACATTTTAGCTATATTGAGCACTTCGAAGATAAACACGTAAGTAGGATAGAATTTATAAATGCATTTCATGTGTTTGTGACTAAAACAGCCTGTCTTTGAGGCAGAAGTCACCCGTGATCTGGGCCTAGTGTGCCTGAACTTTAGTGGTCCTCTTGTCTCCTTTCATTTTTGTTTGGAGTGTAACCAATCTGGAAACAATAACATTTATTTAGTCGCTGAACTTTTGAGGACCTTCTTGTTTTAGGCAGTGAGTTAGTTCAGAAGAACAAAAGTGAATGGCAGGGATGATACCTGTGAAGTTTCTCAGCCTGATCATCGTACCATAGAGGGGTATGCACACACTCCTTGGGGGTGCTCACCACAGGGCCATTGCACTCTGAACGAAAATACTAGAACTTCTCTTTTAATTTCCTAGTCTCTGTGTGTTTTATAATATGTAATATATAAGAATACATGATTGAAATATGTAGACATACATATATTGTGGCAATCCTTTTTGCTAGTTGTTTATATATGATCAAAAATGGCATTTATTATATGTCATAATATTTAAAACAATATTTAAAATATGGTATATTTTAAAATATATACACTTTTTTTTTTTCACTGGTTGTCACATGATCCTTTATTGAAACATTTTCCTTTGTAGTTAACTAGCCGGGCATTCCAGCACACCACTGTGGTTGTCATCTATGATGTCATGAGGGTGGCGGCCAACTACATTGCAGCCCACAGACTGGGCAGTCCCCAGGATCTCTTTAATGGTTCCAGAGAGTTCTCTGGCTAAAGATCGGTGTCACATCTGTCGGGCAATATTGACAATCTCATCAAAAGTGATATTTCCACTGTGCTTAATGTTTTTCTGCTTCTTTCTGTCTCTTGGTGGTTCCTTGAGGGCTTTGATAATCAGGGCAGAGGCAGAAGGTACCACTTCAATCTGGGCCTGTCTCTTCTGAATGGTCAGTTTCACTGTAATCCTTAGACCCTTCCAATCACTGGTTGCCTTGGCGATGTCATCACCAACCTTTTTTGGAGACAGACCCAGCGGGCCTATCTTCGGGGCCAGGGCAGACATGGCATCGACTTCGCCACCGGTGCACCTCAGGTACACGACTTTGATCTCGTTGGGGTCGAACTTAGGCGGCATGGCGGAGGTGGCTGGTGTCGGATGAACCCGGATTCGGGACGACCGAAGAAAGTTGCACCTTTGTCTCCCCGAGCCGAAAGCCAAAAGCTCCCCAAGCCGAAAGCCAAAAGTATACATATTTTTGGTAACTTATATTTGAACATTTCGAGAAAACTAAGAGTTTCTGTGTATGGTAAAGCATGTTCTTAATGATGAAATAGTTGTACTTGTTGCCTCTGTTTTGTGGTGTAAAGCAAGACTTGTTCTATAAAAAGACTCGTTAAGATCTGGCTTGACAGATTTGAGTCTTTTTCTCAAGTCATTTTCTTATGTTGGAAGACCTTTACCTTATGTAGAATGTGTCCCTTGCTACAAAACACCAAAGCCTCCTACCAGCTGTCAAATGTTGGGGAAGGGGGCATGGAGAATGGTGGAATGCCATCTGCCTGTTCTTTTGTCAGTCCCCGCCGAAGGGTGACCTTTGGGGAACTATGCACGCACGCCTATTAACGTCATGAAGCAACAGGGCTAGGATGCCACCCAGAAATTTCCCTGACCCAGTCTGTTCACTCACTGGAGGTGTTTTCTCAGGGTGAAATGTCTTACTTTCAGAGAGCTATGAAATCCTTCGTTCAAAAAGTTCTTGCCTCCCTCATCCCGAGATCCTTTTTCCTAAAATTAGGAAACCTAACTAAAAATGGCTGTGAAGAACCTATTTTATTTTTTTTAAAAGATTTTATTTATTTATTTGACAGAGACACAGTGAGAGAGGGAACACAAGCAGGGGGAGTGGGAGAGGGAGAAGCAGGCCTCCCGCCAAGCAGGGAGCCTGATGTGGGGCTTGATCCCAGGACCCTGGGACCCTGGCCTGAGCCGAAGGCAGACGCTTAACGACTGAGCCACCCAGGCACCCCAAGAACCTATTTTAAATGAAATAAATTAATAAGTGTGTCTAGGTTCTCTAGAGACTTTTGTTTTCATTTTTGTTTTTGTGATGAGTATTTTAAGTTATATTTGACACTGTCGTTTTAAAAAATACTTTTAACAAGACTTAATCCAAGTGAAATCTTGCATGTGTTTTTGCAGGTTTGATGACGACTAGAAGCATGCTTTCACTGAGCTTCCCAACACCATTTGTTACGCAGAATGTCTCTGAGTGAGAACACAGTTTTTGCCTATGAATCTTCGGTGCACAGCACCAATGTCTTGCTCAGCCTCAACGACCAGCGGAAGAAGGACGTGCTGTGTGACGTCACAGTCCTCGTGGAGGGCCAGCGCTTCCGCGCCCACCGGTCTGTGTTGGCGGCATGCAGCAGTTACCTCCACTCGAGAATCGTAGGCCAGGCCGATGCAGAGCTTAACATTACTCTACCAGAAGAGGTGGGAGAGAGGTCCATGGTTCTGGAAGTCACCCTGCTTTTAATTTAATTGAACCTAATTAAGTCTTTTTATGGTTTATGAAGTTAAAAATAAAACCGTGTCCTTGTCATGAGGCTGAGGAGCAATTCCCAGGTTCTGCAGCAACTCATTTCTTTAACTTTTTTTATGCAAATTATGCCATTTTACATGTAGAATTGTTAGTTTGGGATGTTAGTTGACAATAGTTATTGAGCAGTTGAATAACTTGACCCACTGTTATAGTACCCCCCCCTTTTTTTTTAAGAGAGAGCATGTGCATAGGGGAGGAGCAAAGGGAGAGGGAGAAAGAGAATCTTAAGCGGGCTCCATGCTCAGAGTGGAGCCCAAGGTGGGGATGGATCTCAGGATCCTGAGATCATGACCTGAGCTGAAATGAAGAGTCGGGTCGCTTAACTGATTGAGCCACCCAGGCGGCCCTCTGTTACTTTCTGATAAATGACCAAAGCAGGGCACAGCCAGTGGATTGTAGACATTCGGAGAAGTCATGCTCAGAGTCATGGCTATAGTATGTCACATTCTCTCCCTTTGGACCTTTTCCTGTGATGGGAAACTGAGTGGGTTTAGGGTTCTAGAAATTATCCATTTTTCTAAGACACCGGCTCGTGGAAAGTAGGTACTCCGTAAGTGTTCTATTGCCCCTTTCTTCTTTCTTGATATTGTTTCTATGCATTGGTAAATGATGATTTTGTGTCATAATTATAGAGCTTGGTTTTACACATGTCTTTCCCACCAGCCTGTTGTGGAGCTCAAGCACCTAAATGTTTCTGTCCTTGTTATGTCCTGCCTCCAAGAGACCTCTCAGGTCCAGGAAGTGCTGGTTACACTTAATAGAATAGCTTGCTTTTATTTAGTGAGTAACTGTAACTAGAAGAGTGTTGAGCCTTGTGGCATTGGGACACAAAATAGCGGTTGTTAAGAGGAGTTTGGAGAAAGTATGTAGAACTTTTTTGTTTAGGGCAGGCCCGCGTGGGCTACCCTGTGATGGATACTAAGCCTACAGTTTACCTTATGTTGGTCACCCATGCTTCCATGAAATTGTGCAGTTTGGGGAATCAACAGATTGTCACTTCTGTGGCAGAGGTCAGTGAATAAGGCAATACCAAGAAAATGATAAAGGCCAACTATAGGTTAGCCATTGTTTTTCAAAAAGTAACAACACATATCTTAATGGCAGTGTTTAATGTCTTTACCTCATGTGAGTAAAACCGTAATTCATGTGTCTTTAAAAGTGGAATCTATAAAGTGGATGGTATGGTTCTAATGAATGGGGTGTGTTAAGCATGCTTTTCCAGACTCCCAATTAGCTTTACATTTTCTAGAAGAATATTTTTACTTACCAAGTTAAAAGACCTGTTTTTATAATGATCACAAATAAGTTATTCATCTCTCTATTCCCCTTTTACTTTTATTTATCTACTAGACCACTTTAAGTGATGCATTTGTTTTTATTTTGTATATTAACAGGTGACAGTTAAAGGATTTGAACCTTTAATTCAGTTTGTCTACACTGCCAAACTGATTTTAAATAAGGACAATGTGGATGAAGTGTGCAAGTGTGTGGAATTTTTAGGTGTACGTGACATTGAGGAATCCTGCTTTCAGTTTCTCAAATTTAAGTTTTTGGACTCCACTGCTGACCAGCAAGAATGCTTAAGAAAAAAATGCATCCCATCACACTGTCAAAAAGCAGACCTTAAATTTTCACTTTTGGACCAGAGGGATTTAGAAATTGACGAAGTGGAGGAATTTTTGGAAAATAAAAATGTCCAGACTCCTCAGTGGAAACTGCATAGGTATCAAGCAAATGCAAAAGTATCATCTCCTCTGCAAGACAGTGCCAGTCAAACCTGTGAATCCATGTGCTTAGAAAAGGATGCTGCTCTGGCTTTGCCATCTTTATGCCCCAAATACAGAAAATTCCAAAAAGCTTTTGGAACTGACAGAGTCCGTACTGTGGAATCCAGTGTCAAAGACGTTCATGCTGCTTCTGTTCAGCCAAATGAGACATCTGAAAATGAGTGTCTGGGAAGAATCCAGGACTGTGCAGATCTGCAGGTGATTTTAAAATGTGAAGAAAGTAAATTAACAACAGAACATGAAGAAAGCAGGAAGAAAGATCCTGCTTCTCATTGCCCATCAGAAAAATCAGAAGTGACTCCTTTCCCCCACAATTCTTCTGCAGACCCTCACGGGCTCTATTCTCTGTCTCTTTTACACACATATGACCAATATGGTGACTTGAATTTTGCTGGAATGCAAAACACGGCAGTGTTAACAGAAAAGCCTTTGTCAGGTACAGAGGTTCCAGAGGAGAAAACATTTGGTGAAAGTCAGGATTTACATTTGAAATCTGACTCTGGCCCCAGGGAAGACAGTAGCCTTGCCTCCAGCGATCGGAGTAGTGTGGAACGAGAAGTGGCAGAACACCTGGCCAAAGGCTTCTGGAGTGACATTTGCAGCACAGACTCTTCTTGCCAAATGCAGTTATCACCTGCTGTGGCCAAAGATGGTTCAGAACAGATCTACTCACAGAAGCGGTCTGAGTGTCCCTGGTTAGGTATCAGGATTAGCGAGAGCCCAGAGCCAGGTCAGAGGACTTTTACAACGTTGAGTTCTGTCAACTGCCCTTTTATAAGTACTCTGAGTACCGAAGGCTGTTCAAGCAATTTGGAAATTGGAAACGATGAGTATGTTTCAGAGCCCCAGCAGGAACCTTGCCCATACGCTTGTGTGATTAGCTTGGGAGATGACTCTGAGACTGATACGGAAGGTGACAGTGAACCCTGTTCAGCCAGAGAACAGGAATGTGAGGTGAGGGGAAAGCGTGTGTGTTGCTAAGTCCTTGTTTTACCACTGTTAATGGGGGTTCACTCTGTGTCAGCTCCCGTTGCACCACTGGGGACGTAGGAGCAGGCTCAGGGAGGGAGGATGAAACCCACAGACAGAAAACTGTGTGAACGGTACCCAAAGAGTGTGACGAAGTTTGAAGGATGTCTGTGTTCATATATTTCAAGCAAGTATATTTATGTTTGCCGTGGAGTGGATTCACACATTGGCTGTTTAACTGTTTAAATCAAATACCATGTCCCAAGAGGAAAAAAAATAATGATTCTGTGATTGTTACACGGTAACTCCTGGAAAAATGCAACATATATTCCGATCTTATTCATTGCCACAGGGTCTCTGGACTAGTCACTTGGTAGTGATTTAGCAGTGACTAGGTGTAGGAATGTGCCTTCTAATGCAGAGTTTTCTTTGCCTTAGTTTTTCAGAGCCATTAATTTTTTTATTTTCCCTTAGCCATTTCAGCCATTAATTTAATGTCTTAATAATTCGGTATGAGTTCCATGTAGCTGGTATGGTATTAACCTTACCAAGCATGATCTGTGTATTTTGTGTACAAATGTTCATATTTGATAGCTGCTTTTTTTGTAAAACATTACCATAATTCTGGTAATAATAAAGGCTTGTTGGTTCTTTTAGCATTTTCTTTAGTTTTCTAGCTGTTGGATGACGTGTTTAAGAGAGGGACAGAGGTTCTTTTTTTTTTTTTTAACCCCCCCTTGGCTTTGGGAGAAGGTTATTGGTGATTTAATTTAAGAAGTAATATGTATTCATGAGTTATAGCTGTAGATTTGTTTATGGCATTTATAAATCCAGTGTTTGGAACTATGAAAAGAATGTTAAAAAATAAGACATTTAAGAAATTGTAAAATATTTTGTATAACTAGTTTCTCTAGTTTGAAAGACAAATTAGGTTGCCAGAGAAACTTGATCAATGTTTTATAAGCATTTTTGATAATTAATATAGTTAAATTGTCACACAGTGACAATTTAAAAAAATTATCTTCTCCTTTTTCTAAATTTAAGTATGTTGAAAATGACTTTAAAATATTCATAAGGCTTTTCTAACCATTTCTATATTGGAAAGTGAAATGTGTTGATTTTGAGTTATGTGAAACTATTCTCTTGACAGAAAACTTAATTTTCTGAAATGCTTTAGAAATTACTAGTGTAATTATACCAGTGTTAAATCAGTGCTTCACAGTAAAATAAATCAAAGTACAAAATAGATTTTTTTTTTGTTTGGTTAAACACATTAGAAACACTTTAGAAAGAGGCTTAAAGGTACCTGTGGGGTATTAACATACCCTAGTAAAAGAACTTAAGTTCTCTTTTTTTATTTTAAATGCATGAATATTTGTGTTAATATTTTTGATTTGCTAAAAAAGGTGCTCTCAATTTTCTTGTCTTCTGAACTCTCTAAAATAGTCTAGAAATATCAAATTATTCTTTATTATAAGGGATTATATAGAAATCCGAAATAGAGGTCTATTTTTTTTTAAAGTCTAAATGAAGTTCTCTGGAAAATATAGGTGTGTATCTTCCTCTTCCTAGATTTAAGTATAACTCCATAGTACGGCAACAATTACTAATGTTTATTTTACATTCTAGGTAAAACTGCCATTTAATGCCCAACGAATAATTTCACTCTCTCGAAATGATTTTCAATCCTTGTTGAAAATGCATAAGCTGACTCCAGAACAACTGGATTGTATCCACGATATTCGAAGAAGAAGTAAAAACAGAATTGCTGCACAGCGCTGTCGCAAGAGAAAACTTGACTGCATACAGAATCTTGAATCAGAAATTGAGAAGCTTGTAAGTATACAAGTTTCTTACTTAGATTCCACCACATTCATTCATTCTTTCTTTTTTATAGCGGAAATCGCTATTTCAATTCCTGAGTCAGATATAATGCTCAGAATTTACCAATTACTGTTTTAAGAAAATATATGACATTTTTAGAAAGCTTAAGAAATAAGAAAATGAGAGTTTTCATAGACTATTTTACTTATGTGAGTATTCTACGTGTTTGGTGTGATATGCTATAATATGTAAATTAAGAACTATTTGTGGGTGCTGTTTTTTAATGATATACAAATTAAGGATAATTTTACTGTTTACCTAATTCTTTTTTTTTAAGATTTTTATTTATTTATTTATTTTAGAGAGAGTGCATGAATGAGCACAAGATAGCACGAGGGGGGGCCCACAGAGGGAGAGGGAGAAACAGGCTCCCCCCTGATCAGGGAGCCCGACAATGTGGGGCTTGATCCCAGGACCCCGGGATCACGACCTGAGCCGAAGGCAGATGCTTAACCAACTGAGCCACCCAGGCGCCCCACTGTCTACCTAATTCTTAGTGGTTGAGTAAAGATTAAAGAAATGGTGAAACACTTTAATCTCTTTGTGCGGTGTTTGGTGTCTATAAAAGCTAATGTTTTAGCCGTTTGTTTAAATGAACTGTAGACTTGAATAACTTGTTTTGGTTGATACCAGGACAAATAAAACAACTTGGATCTTTCATCTCAGGGAAAAAACTCATGATGCTGGTATAAATAGAAAATTTAAGGTCTAATGAGACTCTAAGTGAGAAGAATGCTTACTTTATTGAATCTTGTTACTTATTCCAGCATCAAAACAAATTAATTGAAAAATGGATACTTTGCACCCAAGTTTCTCTGTTCCCTAGTGGTTGGTGGAAGGAAGCATTGTCTGAAACAAGGCAGCTGAGGTTAGAGACAGCAGGGAACCAGCACCTAGAAATAGTAAAAACATTCTTTGAATATTTGGTTTTGAGTCTTTGTTAATTATTGGTGAAAGTTTAAAATTATGATTGTAGCAAGTCTTCAAGCACAAACATTCTAGCTATGAATAGCAAGTGTACAGCAACATTTCAGTAAAAAGAAACAACCTGTCCAGGAGATGCATCCTTATTTTATGCTGTGCCTGGTTGTTATGATAATGTTGTGATTTCCTCTATTGAATCCATCTTTGCCCTCATCACAGAAAAACAAAAGCAAAAATAAAAAACCAATCTGTGCCTTTGTATGCCTTCAGAAAAGTGGAAAAATAAAAACTTGCTCATATATTGTGGTCAGTACCCTGTTTACCTGTTACATTAATTTGGACAGTGGATATAAGAAACAAACCATCTGAAGCATGAATGAATGACTTAATGCATTTGTTGTAAGGGTACAGGTGTGTCTCATATAGAAACCAAAGAATGGAGCAGGCCTCGTCAGTAGCATAGAACAAGGAAGTGGAAAACTGCCAGGAACCCAGAGAATCTTCTCTGTCAGCCCGTCTCTCTGCACCTGCTCCCGTGGAACTCCACACGGTGGCTCTGTGTGCCACCAAGTGCGCATGGGAAGAGTGGCTGTAGTATGGCTCCTAAATAGTTTCGCTCTCCTCCAGGGTCTAGTGCAGACGGAGACGACAGTTTTAGTTCTAAATTCCCAAGGAGGTGAGCATCTAATTGGCTTATTTTGGCTCAGGTGCCTCTTCTGTGACGAGAGAGCAGGGACAAACAGCAATGTGGCTGCCGAGAGCCCACCTCTGGGCAGACAGAGCCGGTAGCCTGCCAGGGACCTACTCACCCGGATGTGCACCAGTCCGAGCTCAGCCCAGTCCCCGTCGTCTCCCCAGGATCACCTGAGAAGACATGCTAACTTTTTTTTTTTTTAAAGCAGAGTGACTTGCCTTGTGTTTTAGCTTCCTTGAACTCTGCCTAGTCCTTCATACTGCTCGCAGTTCTAGTGATTTATATGGGTTCACTCCAGTTGCAAAGGGTAAGGGGCACTTGTAAAGTTCAGTCTTGCCACAGATGTCTCTCTTAGGTGAAAATAAGCAGAGAATCTGCTACTTATTAGCTTATAGGAATAAGAAAGCTGGCCCTTTTCCTAGAAGTAAAAGAATTTGAGCCTTAAGGTATTTTATTATATTAAGAAGTTTACTTGGAATTTAGACCCTGGTTATTGGGTGATGTTATGGGTCTTGTTGTCTTTTGTAAAGAGAGAAGGACCAACAGTAGTTACAGCTACACTTCTGTCACGGGTTTGCATTCAGTAGTGTGGGGAGTTGAGACTATGGAGGACTGTGACAGGTTTGTTTTTGTTTTTTTTTAATTAAGAGGGCGCTCTGGAAACATGGCCAGTAGACAAGCAGTATTTCCCAGTATTTATACTCTGGGTGGTATTTTAGCAAACCTATTTAAGGGAAATTACTTGTTTCATAACCAAACAGCCCATGTTAATATAGCCAGTAACTGATTAGGTTAACATATAAATAAATGCACAGTAAATATTGCCCTGGTCTGATAATATTCAGGTGAAGGGTCCCATATTTTGGTAAGTTTTAGTCTTTGGCTATTGGCTATAAACTTTTTGCAGTTTGTCCTAAGAGTAATAGCATAATAGACTGGATGGATCAACACATGAAAAAAAGTGTTTTGATTACAGTAAGAATAGTGATTCTAAAATGTCCTCAAGGTGGGTCCATAGAATAATGATCACGTATAAAAAACACTTTAATAGTCTTAATGTGCTGGGAAAGCCAAAGGGTGATATTAGTTTGAATTCAATAAATCAGTGAGTTGTATTTCTCAAAAAGAAGTCCCGTCAGAATCTAACTAGAACCTTTGAAGAAAAAGAAAGCTGTATATTTATTTGGTAATAATTTATTTGATAAATTGGTGGTAATTACTTCTAACATTTATTTAAAGTTTGATAGTATATTAGAGGTTAGGTATTGATTTGGCATTGCATTTACTATAAGGATTTTGAATATGTATAATCTACAAACCAATAACCTGGCTTTTTTTTTTTTTTTTAAACCAATAAACAAAGTTCAGGAATCATTCAACTTCTGTTATGTGTTTGGCTTACAAAGCTCTTTATAGGATTCTTTACAAGGTCTGTGTTTCTTTTTTCCTGGAACATTAATTCAGAAGTTAGGAAATAGTATGCTTCTATACCATTTTGGCCTCAAGGAAAGGTAACCCTGAAATGAAAGGAACTTTGCCTTTAAAGAAAAAGTTACCAAAGTGTATTTCTCTTAGATGGCATCAAATATTGATTGATAGCAACTTACAGGTGATCAGAAATCAGAATCTTGACAAAAGCACTTGAATTCAGCGTTGAGCTGTTCAGACATCACTTCGTTTCATTGCCCTTGTCTATTGTGATGGTAGAGGAGTAGAGAGACCTCATCTGTCCTTAGTGTTTTGCATCTTGTGGGGAGGATTGCATTATTTTATTAAAAACAAACCTGTTCTAACCCAGGTTAATAATAAACCACATGCTACTCGCTGCTCTACCCTCATGCACACTGCCGTCTCCAGACACACCCACTGGGCCCTTCTGGAATTTGCTCATTTGCCCTTCTGTGATACCTTTGAGCAGCACACCTTGAAACGTGGTCTGTGGACCATTGGCATCAGAGTTATCTGGAGATGTCCCTTTAAAAATGCACTTTCCTAAAAAAATAATAGGAAAATAAAACACACGTTACTCACTCAGTCCCACCCCCGACCTGTGGGAGGGTACCAGAAGCATGCATTTTGAATGGGGAGTATATACAATATTGAGGATTTATTAATTTTCTCAGGGAAATTAATGTTTCCAGGGAAAATCTTCATGCACATTGAAAATTTGAGAGCCTTCTGCACTGGGACACAGAGTTCAGACGGAGGCTGTGGGGTCAAACAGCTATAGGCATTGTGCCTGGCTACTTGGTAGCTTTGTGGCCTGGGGAAATTATTTTTACCTCTGAAACCTACGTTCCCTCACTGGTGATACGGGGATAAGGATAGCATCTCCCTCAGGGCTGGTGCAAAGATCACATGGCATCGGGAATGGGAAGCTTTTTGTATTGCTCAGTCCACGTTCGGGGCTCAGTAAATCTTAGTGGTTGTATTTTTATTTTTTTATTATTTTTATTTTTTTTTATTTATTGCAGAGAGAGAGAG